CGGGTTTCAAAATTCGTCAGAATTTTGACGGGTTATTTACTAATAGTTTATTATAATTTCGACAGAATTTAGACAGTTACTAAGGAATTTCGGCAAGCAACCTTACCTGTTACTACTGAAGGATTGCATAATTTGGATAAAGCTGCAAGTTATCTGTCTCTCCAAGAATATTGGAAAGTACCTGAAGATGTTGGACTTATAACAGCATTCTTGGATCCACGAATAAAAAGTTTGAAGTTTCTTGGTAATACAACCCTAAAGATAACTACAATTAACAAAGTACGAAGACTTTGTATTGAAGAAGAGCACTGCCAACCTTCAATTGAAGAATTTTCCAGAAACGAATCATTTAATATATCAACATCTGAAATCGTGACATCAAATAATTTAATGGCAGCTCTATATAGAGACAAGGAATCAGATGATGAAGATTTTGAAGAGAATGAACTCGATCGTTACCTTCTTGAACCTAATGAAAAAAGAAGCTGCGACCCCTTAACATGGTGAAAAGATAGAGCAAAAAGATATCCCATATTATCAAACCTTGCTCGGAGATATCTATCAGTACCAGCAACATCAGTTCCCTCAGAACGTCTATTTTCGGATGCTGGATTACATATCACAGCATTATGTAACTGGCTTCAGCCAGATATGATTGAGAAAATGATCTTTCTTAAGCGTAATATGCAATTTTTTCCTATTTTCAGGCCAGATGAAGTATAAGATGGGAGATTAGTAATAGGTAATATAATAGATATTCATAATAGGTATCTACACGTTATCATTTTGTAATGGGTAATGTTATGGGTAATATAATAGGTATCATAATTAAATCTATCATTTTGTCATATACATATTGCTAATTTTGGTTTTGAACATTATATGTGTTGAACAAAAGATATGGGGAATCGAAAACATCATTATTTATCGAGTTCCAGCATTTTAAAGTGACAATCACCAATTCTCTGTAAAAAAAGCATAATTGCCGTGTTATATTTTGCCTTGATGATAATGTTTGTCACATGCATGACAGCGTTGTCATGTGGAAACTTAAAGTAGGGATAGCGATAGGAATCGATTAATCATTTTAAATATGAAAAGTTAGAGAGGATCAGATACTTTTGTATTTATTATCTGGTTAAACCGGATAACATATAACCAGTTGATATTCTATCTGTCTAACTGAACCGAAATCTAAAACTGGATATCTGGATTTGTTACGGATAGCCGGTTTAGAATGAACCTTCATCTGACGGGTCACGGATCTAAAATTTGAAACCAGTTTGGAACCCTAGACTTTTCTTCATTCATTCAAAAATATGCTCCAGTATAATATTTGTCAACAAATTTTTCACACTCTAAGAATTATTCGATTTGGGTGATTGGATGAATATGATATAGAGCAGATTCAAAAGTGTCAAAGCTTTCTTTTACTCGATTACTGGTAAAGAGTTTTCTT